GGCCAGCGCAGAGCTGCAGCGGGTTAATGCTCATCAGATGGCTCGAGTACTGATTAACTCCTTCGGGGTCACTTTGCATGTCCTGAATAAAAAGGCTTTTAGAGGAGAAGGTTACGGTGACGCTGGAAGAGTGACGAGCACTGATAGCGTGGGCAGCGTGAGCACCCAGAGCTGTGCTGATGCATGGGAGCTATGGCTTTGGGGCAGATTTTCTTCTGTGGAATACAAGTGTACTTGCAACTGGTGGAAACTGGTGAGATGACCCCGGGAATGTTCAGCTACACGGCACACTGAACACATGGCAACTGCTGGTTTGATTTTTAGGAGCTGCTTGTGCTGAGCACTAATAGAGAAGCTTGATTTTTTTATTTTTTTTTTTTCTTAAGCTCAGTATTTTCCAAGGTCAGGCCTTGGGTACGCTGTCAAATGAGAGCCTGCACAGGAAGAGGGAAATAAATGTTGAAAGCGTGGGGAAGGGACAGAACTAGCAGCAAGGCCGGTGGTCCACCACTGAGATGATTCCAGCAATACTTAGGGCGAGCTGGGAAGCTGGTCGTGGTTAGGAGGTCTGTGGTAGCGTGGTATCCCCTGTGATGGGGAGCTTTGCTCTTCGTTGAGGGAATAGAGGGTGGGCAGTGGGTCTATGCTCCTTTCATGACCTCCTGCCGCACAGCTGGTCCTTCCAAGCCCCTTCCAAAGGGAGGAACCGCTGCTTTCGTGGGGACGAGAGGCTCCTCTGCGCTGTGGCCATGCTGGGGAGGGCGAAAGCCCGAGAACCTGACTAATGGGGACGTGAAGACCCACCGTCCACGTGGCCTGATTCACCCGAGGGCTGAGCAGATGGAGCCCTTCCTCCAGGAACGTTTGATCGCGCACCGCTGAGGTCACCCTTCTGGCGAGCGCCCGCCGCGGTGGAGACCCAGTCATCTGGCAGCGCGTTGCTTACTGCGGTCTCCAAGGCAACGCTCCATGCCCGTTCCTCCTTGGAAGCTCTGCTGCTTCGTAAAGAAGCTGTCATCCTGCTTACAGTAAGTGCAGCAGATGTGAAAGGTTTTTACCTTTGCCAGTGAACTCTAGACCGGGACGCCGTCGCTCTGAGGAGCGGTGCTGCCTGGGGCATAGCACTTAGAGCTGAAGGGTGCTGTCTGCCCGCTCGTGGGGTCACAAGCTGTCTTTCTGTCCTGCCAGTGACCCTCTCCAAGCCCGCTGCTGTGCTGGCACGAAGAGCCTGGGCTGCCCCGAGGATGGCTGGAGATCCCTGCCGAGGGCCTTGCCACTCTGGCACGTGCCGCACCAAGAATTGATTCCAGATGAGGGTTCCCAAGGTGGGTTTTACCAGTCCTGTGGTGTTTTAGTGCTGCTGGTAAGGAATCACAGAATAGTTGGGGTTGGAAGGGACCTCTGTGGGTCATCTAGTCCAAACCCCTGCCGAAGCAGGGTCAGAGCAGGCTGCACAGGACCTTGTGCAGCTCAGTCGTGTCCCGTGGGGCTGTTACCCGCCTCCTGTGTCTCAGAACAAGTCCTCTGAGCTGCTCAGAGAGGGGCTGTGAGTTGGGGTAGGGTGGGTGCTTTGTCTGCTGGCTATGCCCAAGACAGAAAGCAGCTCCATCGGGGCCGTGCTGAGCACTGCCAAAGCTCAGTGTGGAACTGGGAGGCTGGAGGTTTGTGTTCAGTCACCTGCAGCTCCCTAAGAGGCTGCTCTTGTTCTTCCTTTTCAGGTTCCTCAGTAATATGGAGATCAGGGTCTGG